ACATTTAAGTATTGGTTCTGTAAAGTAAAGAAGCAACTCCTTCAGATAATTCTCTTATCTCAGATCTGGAGCCAATGCCACTATGATCCTGAATCACTTCCTAAGTAGCAAGCTAAAGCTGCCAAGTTCCCCTAGAGAACAGTGGCCAAATAGGGTAATTTATGTTTTGCTTGTCAGTAAAAGTACCATTTGTGAGAGGATCTGGTCTGGGGGAGACAGGAACAGATTGTATAAACCTTCAGCTTACATGTGTACAATGTTTATAAGATAAATGATAATGGTCAATCATCCTTACCGAGATAACTGCATCTCCGTCTGAATAACGGTTCAGTCATGCGAAATAATAACATCCTATCCCCCGCCAAATATACCATCTCCGTACTATTCCATGGGGTTGAAACTGACAACCATATTAACACAGCAAACCAAGAAACCAACTCTTATCTTAGAATGATACCCACTTGTGATCACCACTTTCATGTACGTGCAGAGGAAAAATGGTTAAATATGCACATCTGAAGGTTATATATACCATATAAGTTATTGCTATTGGTTAGGTACTCTGCATTATGCAGATTTAATGATAAATGTTTGCGAAAATGTACCAAATACATTACACTACTGGGGTTGATGACCATTTTATGGTCAATTTTGTCAGTTATATGGGATGAAATGACACTGTTGCACAAAGTGCTTGCAAAGGCTTAGAAACAAATGAAAAACGTTTTAGAAGTAAATTGCTGATTAAATTCTAGTATTTTTTCTTCTCATCGTCAAACATATAATGATGGTGCTCATGGTTTTTCCACCAAAATATGGATTTTTAATCTTTTATTAGCATGATGAAGGTTAGCCGCTGAGCAATCGAAAAGTAGCAAGACAATTCTTTTAATTTTTGCCTACAATGATATTAGGTTATAATTTACCGGGATTTTTTAGATACCAACATTATACTGGGTATCCTTTCTTAGGTTTTTTTTTAAACCATATTTATGTTATGACGTTATATTTTTTTTGTGAGTACAAAGAGCACCTGATTATTTGGGTTTAAGTTACTACAGTTGCATAACTACTCTCAAGCCTAAGAGATAGGAACGTGCAAAATATAAAAAAAAAAATGTTAATATTCATGCTGTTGCATTTCTAAAACTGACTGAGGTAAACTCAAATATTTGATAAGGACATTCAAAACCATTAACTGGCATTTAATGACGATAATGTATAATATGGCTGACAGAGACAAAATTCCTTATACGACAGATGTCCTCAAACTTGGCTGCAAAATATCGGATGAAGCATACCTCCATGGATGAAGATAAGGTCTTGTTTAATACAGACAGCACTATATGTAGGTTTTAGTGCTGTATTTTAGAGTACCAACATAGGAGAAGGAGTTTATGGGGAGGATGCATAATAAGCAGTGGTGTATCTACAGTAATGGAATGTGGGAGATGAAAAAATCAAGGTCAAGTAGTACAAAATCACCTCAAATCACCTTATTTGCAATCTAGCACCCCCTCAACTAATCATCGAGCGCCCACTTCGCCTTCATGCCCCCATCTGCCCATCCCCCAAGTTTAAGATTGCATATGCCTCTGATAAGAAAGTGGAAGGTGGAGCTAACTGGATTTTTAACTATTTGAGTACATTTTTTTTTCTTAGTAAGATTTTAGTTTATCTGTGCATTGAGAGGGGAGACAAATTTTCTGGGTAATGAACCTCATTACCCTTTCTCTCCTTAGATAAACCGTTGTCTAGGTCATGTTTTGAGATCCCAGAGTGATATGACACGCCCATAGATATGTGATTATTTAGAGGATGACTTATTACCTTTAGATAGTTGTCAACAGCCATCAGTAACTGGTCTGGGGTAAGATCTGGTGGCGGAGGTCTTGGGTTACGTTCCAGCGACATCTTGTCTTTGCCAGACGGTCTGTGGCTACTGATAATATTGGGTTCACTTGTCGACATTATACCTGTAGAATGCAAAAAGTAATTTTGATTTTAAATCATCAATCTATCAATACAATTTAATTTCATAATGATTTGTCTATTAATTGTGCAACATGATATTATTATTATTATTATTATTATCATCATTATTATTATTATTATTAAATAAAAGCAAAGATACTAAAATAAATAATATAATTGGTACAGATCAACACTTTAATAACGAATAAAGACGAAGTACGATACAACTGATAAGATCTTTACCACACCTAAAAAGATAAAAATTTTAAAAAACAATTGATGCTAAGATAAATGCACATTCATGTAATTGACAAATCACTGCATTTTGGAAGTTAAGTAGTTGAGGGTAAAAAAATCATATATGATCCAACCTGTGAGCCATTTCTTATCATACGTAATAAGATTAAGCAAAGTATTAGAGTTATGAAGATTGAGAATCTTGTCATAATCGCAATGATGGATCGGCTACTAGGCGATCTGTCACGATAATCATCCTCCCTTAACAGACTGCTCTGTTTCATGTCGTAATTGGTTGATCCGTGCGCTGCTTACGTAGAAAGAAGTCCCAACGTGTTTATATCTAAGAAAAACTACTGTAAACAATGGTGTTGTATGGATCGGAAAACAAATCGGCTGGTACTAAACATAGCAACTAATTTAAATGCTACTGTTAATCATTTTAACACGCAACGTTACAATGAGTCACCCGCCATCACCTAAATATGAAGTAAAGGTTAGAAGGAATAAAGTCAGAGCCTAAGTTTACTTTTGCAAACAAACAAAATAAGAACATCAATTTTTGACCAACCATAAACTATTTCATATACAGATGTATCTTTAATATAAACTGTTATCCAAATCAAAGAAGTGAAAAAAACCCCCCAAATTTCTATACAATATGTGACCAGCTCTGGCAAAACCAGGTTTTTGCATTTTATAAAAGAAGATATATTGAAGGGAATTTCTGCAAAATATCGATCACTAAATCTAACTGAAAAGTATATTAAAATTATTTTTAAAGTTTTAAAAATAACTATTTAAAAATTTTTTTTTTCTCAAAACCTACATGCTGATATCTAATGAATTAAATATTCATAACTTCACCAAAACGCAACAAATTTCCATCAAATAAACACTGTTTTAAAGAAGAATTCATACAGAATTTAACAATACCAAAAGCTTTTCCAACAAATGGCTGGTTTTGTCAGAGCCAGTCACATATTTTAATATGTTATAAAAGCTTACAACTTAAACTTAGAAAAAATCTTTCCCAATTAACAGGTATTAAAATAATAATAGGTTTTCAAGATCTTTGAAATTTCTAGCAGTAAATTATTTTTGAAGTAAAACTGATTTCTGCAACTCTAATTTAAGAGTTCCTTTTTAACAAGCAATTCAATTTTTATTCTCATTCTAACTTTTGAGGTAGCATTATGTTCTAAAAGTAATGTTTTTGTCCTCTTTTCTGTAATTTCATTTATAATGTTAAGAAATATAGCATAGGTAGGGAAAGATAGGGCAGTGTGCAAGGAGATGATGACATTTCAAAATTAATATCAACAAACCACGTTGATAATGAATCAACGTCTTCACATTATCACGCGAACATCAATCAAGTCCTTTACTGGAGACAAGACCTACAAATGTTTATGGCAATGCCGATTTCATTTCAATCCTATCTCTTTTGTAATGATCCCAATAAAAAGAAACATTTCACCCCTAAAACCTTTTGAGTACGGTGTAAATAACCTAAATTCAAAACAATCTGAAAGCTATCATTTTAAATAAGGCTCCCAGCAGGTGCATCAATTATTTTGTTTCTTGCTTTTTGTTGTTTTAGTTTTGTTAATACAGGAACTATATAGGAATGCGTATATCTGCAAAGTCCAGGTCCATCGAGGTGAAAAGTTCCAGAAAACGCACTTTCTTCTTTACCTAAAGTGGACTACAATATCTGTCACATAATGAAACCATTTATGTAACTATTAACACTACTAAAATGAAACACGTTAACAAAATACACACGCTTTACTGATGAATACAAAAATTCAATTGTTCAAAAAACTTGTAGTTTAAATAATTGTGCATTATGCAAGGGTTCTCTATGCTTTTGATTACAAAACAAATCAATAAGCACAATGAGAGTTTTGAAGCTAACAAGATCACAAGACTATTCAATGCGTGTGCAGTTTACGCAGTGTAATGGTAGAAGAGCTACTATTATGGTTTTCAAACAATTACAGTATGCAAAAAAAAATGGCAGGCAAGAATGGTAGAATACTGTTTAAAGTAGCATTTTAATACTTATTCTATCACTCTCTATGCACTTTAATGCTCTCAAATCTACTTAATGCTTTGTGATCCTAAAGTCAGGCTCCGGAGGAAAACAATTTTTTGATATGTTGTAGAACTGATTTTTCTAAGACAGAAAAAAGTTGTTTGACGAAAAACTGGGGAACGGTGAATGAGATACAGATTTTTTAATATTTAAAAAATGGGGGAAAAGGGGCGTAACTGCCCATTTTTACACCTTATTCCCCCAGTTTTTAAATATCAAAACAGACTCTTGCAGTGCATATTCCATTCATTTTTGGAAACTCTCATTATTTGGTGCTCTGTATTTTGGGAAACTATAGTCTGTCAAAGATTGGAAATTTAACATTGGAACATTCTAAAGTAGATTAGGGTAGTTAACTTATGTTAAAACAATGAAAGTGTCTAAAACCAATATCAGCCTTTACTGCAGCATCAAAAATAGATAATGCGACTGATTGCTATTTTCCTACAGAATGTAATGTCTCCTTGCCTCATCAGTGTGAATTGTAAGCCAAGTTTCGAGTTCAAAGAAAAAAAAAAACCACAAATCCATATTGGTTGCTAGGGGGAAAGTAATCAGGTAATAAGCGAGAGAAATGGGGATTGATACTTATTATGAATGGCATATTGAGAACAGATATTCAGAATGGCTTCTTATCCTTATTATTTATTTGTCTATAGATTATGACACAAGATAGTTTATATGGATTTAAAACACAATGCTGAGGTATAGCCAGGGGTAATGAATGGTTTGCTTCATAAACTTTTACAATATAAGGAAAAATTCATCGCATCTGAAAACATCTAAGTAGTACGTTGCCAATTCCAATGATGATCAATTTTATAATTAATGGAATGTACTCAAAATTGTTCCCAACATAATTTGACAGGGAAAAATGTGGGTTAGCCCTTAACCATTTGTTCAGAATCTTGGAAAGGCAAGAATTTATGCATTTTAAAAAAGAACATTGGTTTAGTTTTGTGACCTCCTATATTTGTTGTGCATGTTTCCTTGGAAGAAATCAATATACATTATATTATATGATATTATACTATATTTAGTGTAAAATTAATACAATCTGGCACAATTTGTTGCTGAAAAAAATAAAATTTGATAGTGTGTAGTAAAATTGAATAATATAATTCTTAACACCTCTATAAATTTGAGAAATTACTTTTAAAATGCAAATTATTTTAATAATTATTTACAATTAATTAAATTTATGAAGTATTTTAATAATTTACAATGGAATTAATATTTATTTTTTAACATCTTTAGGAATAATTAGCTAAACTAATTATCTAAAAGAATAAATAATAAATTCTCAAATGAAAATTTTTTTCCCAAGTTGCATTCATTTTCAATTAGTTTTTAATTATCAGTATGTTTATAAACATAATTTAGAAAGATAACACATTTGTTGTTTGAAATAATAACGGATTCATAACAAACTCACACATAAGTCAGGGAAATGGAATTGTAAATCATGATATAGATTATGGTACCTGCGAAAACCTGGTATTACATCCCTGGGGCTTAATGTTGTTACGCATACAAGGGTGGACGCATCATTCAACGTAAACTACGCTGTAAATATAATTCCCACACTCATCACGCTTTTAACACTATAATCACCTTTGGACATGACCGGATCAAGTAAATTTATAAATATAAGAATTTCATTACAAATTTGCACTGGAAAAAAATAGGTTGACTTTCGCCAAGGGAGACGTTATCATTATTATACATAGGAGTATTTATTTTGGGTTTGTACATAAAGTATTAACATTAGCGATAATGGTTTATAAGCTAGGTGAGAAAATCCTTGAGGGGTTGGGACAGAAATCTTGTTGAAAAGAGAATTAGCGATGTCAATCAGATCTCTCATGTAACTTGTACAATATTGGCAGTCAGACTTTCAGTAATTGCCATCTATATATTTTACAGCAAGATGATGTTCTGCAGAGTTAGGCTCGTTCAGCAAAAAGAAATTACAATACCAGCACGCTCAATTTAAATTCCATTCTATTCTTATTCGCAAGGTCACATTTATAATCTACGATCGTGGTTGTAATAACAACGTATGATAATAATTTATGAAAATATGAATATAATATATAATGAATTACAAAATTAAGCACTGCTATTAGCATGCAATTCTTTATATAAAAATTATAAATAATGATAACAAAACATAATAAAATATGTTACTAATCAATTGTGCAATTCCTGAACAACCATTGTCCACTGTTCATTGCCCAAAAGATATTTGAAGGTTGCTGGTTCATTTAATTATGTTATTTAAGATAATACAGGTCTCCCTCCAAATAAAAACCACTTTTGGGACATGGATTTAGACGGTCTTTAATAGCTTTGGTCTGTAATTAGAATAATAAAGATAAAAGACATTTATTAATATGGGACCACAGAAAAATGGTCTTTAATCGGAGGTGGTCTTTAATTAGAGGGAGACCTTTGTTTTATGATTATGTGTTGCAATTACTGTAACTTTACTATATTATATATTTCAAGTCTTTTTTGGCAACTCTGGGGCTTACTGTTATAAATATGATATAAATATACATTTAATCTATTTAAAGAGGGACACACTATTGAAAGCTTTGATTGTCATGCTTTTCCGTTTTCCACCAATTTGTAACTTATTTGTAAAGAAAAAAAAGGAAT